GGGATTTGGCCTAGAGTGATCCAGAGGTAAATTGTGTTCATGAACTCATCCAAATCCTCACAGTAGGAAAGTATTTCAGCTGTTTATGACATGTGAAAAGTAGCCAGAGCTACATTACTATCCTTTTTAATAGTTTTGAACAGAAATCATAAATAATATATATATATTCCGTTCTTCACAGGTGTGCACGACTCTATCTTTGCTTTGAACTCTGCATAAGTGAACAGCAATGGAATCTTTTCTTTGAAGAGGACATTGCAGTAGTTGTCAATGGTTATAAAATCCCTGCTACAACCATACAAATTAAAGGTACACGTTTCTGATCCTTTTTTGTTTTACTACCACACTACACACAGCAAAATGTTCCAAAGTAGCTAAAGGAGTGGCATCCTTCCAGTGGAGAGTCACACCGACACAGATACACACCTCGCATTAACATGGGCAACACCACCTCACAGCTAAACAGGAAGTCACAGAGATAAAATTGAGAAGGCACTTTCAGTGATTTTACACAAATGAGAAGTATGACTCAGCTTGTGTCGCAGTGATGTCTTCAGAATTATCGCAATTTTGACTGGAAGATCACAGTTTATAATACTACTATGAAGTTTAAAAGATAGGGCTTTAGCCAGGCAGGAAGTGTTACATTTAATTATGCTTTTGGCTGTATTATGGGAAAAGGAGGATTCAAACAAAGGACTACAAATCTGCCTCAATTTGACCATATTCAATTCAATTCAATTCAATTCAATTCATAACCTTTATTTATCCAGATGAAATCCCATTGAGATCATTGATCTCTTTTTCAAGGGAGACCTGCAGCAGTAGGTTCCACATGAAGACATAAAAACATAAACAACAGAACAACAAAAGGACATCATACAGCTACATTTACAGGGATTACAATTTACATATCTATCCACATGTACAGGTACCAACAGCATCTGATTGTGTAGCATCCAACCGACCATAACAATGAAAAAGGGCTATACTAAACTTATTTTTGAACTTTTAGCATACTCTACGTCTGATTTCCCAAATTCACCACACTGTAAAAACATTGGTTTCATCTTAATCGCATTGTACTAAAGTGTTAAAGTAAGAATGTAAGCGATTATCCGATGAATACTGAGAACAGCAGGAGTGCGCAGACTTAAAAGTCGAAACATTGTCTCTGCGGTGTATACTCAGCGGCGGTCTCAGTGGACTCGGTCCTAAGAGAACTGACATTGGGTATGATTAAGTTGGTGCTATCTGAAGCCCCCTTCTACTCTTCTACTGCAACAAATTACTTCCTATGCGCGGTACCCAGCTGTATATCCTCATTTGCCTCTGATTGAAGCGCATACTGTAAACGTCCCTCCGCTGTTCCCCGCGGGAACGGAGAGAGAGAGACAGGCAGAGCAGAGAGACCGGCAGGGAGGCGGGGGCTGAGAGTGGGAGGGTGGAGAAGAGATGGAGTTATCCGCGGTCTCATTATGGTGGGAAATGTGAGGGTCCCGATCCAAGGGAATGATGAAGGACTCTGTGGAGGAGGCCTCTGAGAACCAACAAAGACGGCTTTAGTTTCACTGGCAGAATGCATTTGCATAGCTTAGAAGCCAAAGCGACTGAACCGGGGCTCATGAAAAGAAACCCCAGCAATTGCTTGGACTTCAATGCAAACGAGAGGGAGAGAGAAAGAAAGAGAGAGTCAGAGAGAGAGATGGAGAAGTGGGTTGGGAGAGAGAGCTGTAGGAACTTTTTCTCTTAGCATAACACGAGATAAAACGAGATCAGGAACATCCGTGCATCCCATGGAGGTTGTCGCCGAGTGACTTAGATGCAAAGAGAACATACTGAAGGCGGTGCATCTCCAGATAAAGCGAGAAACGTTTCCATGCCATACAAGTGTCATGTTTCATTGATGCGGTTTCATACCACTATTGAAGGCAGTTGGGTTGTCAACAAACATTGGTAATTGGTTATCAGATAATTGCCAGTTGAGATCATTTGCCAGGTTTGTATGTGCTTTCATTTGCTACGGCAGAAGAGCAGCAACTGAACGATTGGAGCTCTGGAGAGCAAGGCGGAGATGAGCAGAGGTCGAGTAACAGAGCAATCTCCTGGTGGAGGGTGTGAGTGCGCGTGTGTGTGTGTGTAAAGGTGATGAGGGAAGAGAGACACTGGAAAAAAAGAGGGGAGAAAAAGTGGAGCAGATGTTGTACTTTAGTGGTGTCTCTCTTTTTCCCTCTGTGGCCTGGAGTCATGGAGGGATGACTAGCCTTCATCAATCCTCTTTAATGACTCTGGCAGCACCACTTAACGCACTAGTATGTGATTTCTTCATTACTACATCATGATTCCACCATTTGGTCCGCACCAATGGCGGTTGCCGATTCTAGGGGATAAAAATAATCGTTGAGAAAAGTCTATTTTTCGCTAACTGCCCTATTCATCTGCTTTTGGGTCATTTTGCAATCCAGGGAAGGAAAGTGATTGCTGAGGCTTTGAACACACCACAAAAAAGAGATGGAATCGGGTGATAGAAAAACAGTGTGAACAACTATTATTGAAATTGATTTGACTGTGAGATAACAAAGAAAACAAACATACCTCGTTTCAAAGTAAGACCAAAGTAAAACATTCAGGCCTTGCCCTCTATAAAAGTATGAAACTCTACCACTTCAAAGTTACTGCCACCATAACATGTTATCCTCTCACAGCCCTCGTTTTATTCAACCACATACTGCCTATTGCATGCGGTGCAGAATACTCCATTTCCTTGACCCCCTTCTCTCGCCTCCCCCTCCTTCATGTGTCAAAACCTTCAGTGAAGACAACGGACGAAAACCCAACTTGCATGTTAATGTTTTCAGTGTATCAATAATAAATGTTGACTTTTGAACCTTGCCAATGCATTTTTACTCAGGGCACCCCTCTGGAGACGCAGTACGCTTTAAACATGTGGCATGTAGAGGACCTACCCAATGGCTCTTTGCCAATTAAAGGGATTGTATATTCAAGGTTGAGTATATAAATGTTTATACATCTGCTTGTATATGTATCTAAGCAATTTCCCTTTAGCAGTGCCAGTTAAAGCACCAAGAAAATAAGGACAAATGTAAGTCTTAACACACTGACTGTAGAATAAGTTAGACACTGTAGTGATAGGGAAATGGGGGTGACTGTGCTCATGGGAATGTTCAGGCTGAACATCATAATGTATATGCAAACACAGACAGCTGAATTTCAAACAATTCCATCTGCTACACTGCCCCGTCTCGGCTGCTGCTGCTGCTGCTGCTATAAGCCCACTAGTCCACACATGCCTCTATGGCAACACCACAACGAGCATTATGGGATATGATTCCTTCTAATGAGCTTGCATCTTCATCTGCACCCACACGCTTTAGCATGGAGAGCCGGCTTGCACCAAGGATCCACAGCTTTGATCTGACATTCATGCGATCAGTATTGATGGTTAACGTCATGCTCCTCTCCCCTGAATATATGTGTATCTCCGAGAGACTGTTTTAGTAGATGCGAATATCGAATCAAGTCAAGGCAATGCCGTCTTGAGACATCAATGTTGGATAAGAGGTTATGCCCTCAGGCTAGTGAATTCACTAACTCTAAACAACAACACACCCACGTAGGAATCTAACACTGCCTAATGAGGGCTTAGAGAGTTTGAAAACTTGAGTAAAAATCGCATGTTTAGGCATTGTGAGATACATCTGCAACAGGTGTTAGGAGGAGAAATACGGCTATCATTGCACATACATGAGAGAGCGGTTATGCAATCGCTGCCCTGGCATGTGATGTGATTAAATCATGTATCTTCCATTGAGCACAGGGGTCTAGAAGAGCAGGCCATTTGGGGCCAATGTTGTTTAAAAAACTGCCGATAAGATGATGGAAATGTAAAAGAAAATTCTCCCAAATGTTGTGTTACTTGTGGCACTTCATCGTTGAAGTGGCCTTCCTATGAGATGTCAATAAGAGCAGTGCCCCCCCCTTCCTGGCCCTGAAGACCCCTTCAAGTGTATAACAGTAAGACTCCTGCTCCAGAGCAAAATAATAGATAAAATCCTGACGCATCATTGGTCGGGTGCAGCACCACGACTGTTGCCGTTATGCTCACAGTAACCTTTCATTGCTACATCATCTCTGCTCACACAAGATAGCGACAAAGATATTTTATGGTGCTTGGCAACAGCCTCTCAAATGTAATCGCACCTCTCAACTTGACCTCGCATTTTCCCTGCACAACCTCTGCTTTGCTGAGGGCCGCTGTCAACACAGACAGGTCGGAGATGTGCACCTCAAGGTTTCCTCCATGTCCCGATATAAGTGCACATGAATCATTACTTCCTCATACTGCTGCTGCTGCAAGGATGATGATTAATATGAGACATCATCTGTGCCACTGGTTGCACAAGCAGACAGGGTAGGAGACAGAAATGTGTGTGCGTATGCGTGTGTGCATGGGAGGGAGAGACAGAGAGATACAGACTGACAGACATAAGGGAGAGGTAGGCGGATAGAACCACCACACATGAAAATAATTCATGACTGTGCATACTAAACGCCGCTGCTCAACAGATTACTGTCCTCTTGGTGACATTTAAAAACACATTTATGCCTTTATACATTTAGACCTTTTTGAATGGTCATTTCAAAATGACATGTATGTAGCAGCCTGAGACGTCCCCATGTTATAATATATGAATATAGCCGACAAAAATCTAGCACTATCATGAGTGATGGATTGGATGAGAAAAGGGGGTTGTGTATGATTGGCTGCCCATGCGATTTGCTGTATAAACTCAGGGTTGGTGGGAACATTTGGAGGCTCTCACTCAAACATGACATTCAGACCTGGTTTGTCAGCCTACACGAGTTGAATTTTATTTATCACAGGACCTTTATGAGTCCAAAGGGAATGAGTGGCGATTTATGAGCGACCACTAGTTTTTACAAGGTCATGATCACGTTTGAGTTTTGCATACACTCACCATACACTCCTTGGCAACGGATGCCCTCCACGGCCAGCGCCAGCAGCCCCAAAACACAGATAATTAGATCCATCCTCTCACGTTAATCTCTGCATATCCAGCTCTCAATGGCAAGAAGTCCTTTCCGGGGCGGTGTGACTGAGGCACATAGACACAGCACCGCTGCGATCCACGCGTCGATTAATTAAGTCTCAGTATTAGCTCTAAAGGTATGTATGGCCGCGGTTGGAGATCAGGCTCAGGTAGCTGTTGCTTTGATGTTCACCGCCATGAAGAACGCGGAGAAACGCCGCGGAGGATGCGGGGTTGTGGGCTGCAGAGAGCCCGGCCTTTCAACAAACAGCAACCTCTCCTCGACTCCAGGTAGCGTGCGCGTGGACTTTAGCGAAGACTCTCGAAGCGCCAAACCGAGGGGGCACACTGATGCTGTCGACTATCACAGGCGGACGGAGCCTCGGTGCCCGCGGACATAGCTCCCTACAAATCCAGCTGTGGTCACGGAAGCTGCTGCTGCGTGGACTGCATGCTGTCAAACGAAGCCATCACCTCTGCTTCACCAAAACACTGGCGCTGGCACTGTTTTTACCTTCTGGGCGGTCGTCAAAGCTACTGTTGCAGATACCAAAGTGGAGTGCGTTCACGCAGTCACATCACGACTGCACCCCGACTTATGTCTACCGGCGGCGGCGACATGGGGAAGGTCCAGTCCGGTCTGAGGAGAGAAGCGGTGGAGGTTTTTTTTTCCTCCACAGCACCTCGGAGATTCTAGCTTTTTTCTTCGGCGTTATGATAGCACTTTTTTCGAGTGAATTCACGAGACTGTGGGAGCCGGATGTGACTGCCGTGGAGCCAGTTGAGCATCGGTCACGTTGCGCAAATACGTGCTACGGAGACCGAGTGGCACCGCAACCGGTCTGTGGCTACGTCAAGAGGTGCGTGGCTTCCAGCGCTCATCTGTATGGGAGGCTTCGCTCAGCGTCGGGAAAGGCATGAGAGGCGCAGCTGCTGGATGCTGAGAGAGAGGGAGAGAGGGAGGGAGGGAGAGAGAGAGGGAGGGAGAGAGCGAGATGGACCATTGGAATTCAGGAGATCTAGCTTTGACAGACCTTTGCAATCAAAAGCAAGAGTCTACCGCTGCCTGCCCATGTTTCACCTCGCATTCTTTATCAGATAGAGGGGATGTGATGTCATGTAACATTGATCTCCCACCTCAGACTTGTTTGGCGTGACACAGTGAGATGTCTATGTTAGTTTACCAAGCACACACTGCTGCTGCAACACACCTACATGTTTTTGGACACATTTTCAGCAATGCATAACTTTAAAAGAGTTGAAAAAGTGGATGCCCAATGGGGTCCCAGTAGGCCCTCGGGGTGTCCTGCTGGCAGTTCCAGTGGGCTCCTGGACATTTTTGAAAAACCCCTTGTTAAATTTGATTTCAAACAAAAAATATCCCAATTAAAAATGTTTTTGACCGCAGGTTTCACCTCATTATTTCCCTCACGGTACTACTGACTTATGGGCATATGGATCATTTCAAATGAAAATAATCATTATATTGTAAATGCTTCAACTTCAATTCTGTTTGAACTGTTTTGTAATATAAATACTGGTATCTAAAGTTAACTAGGTAAAAATATTCACACTATACTGTATATGGCTCCCTAAAACATATATTTAATTCATTACCACCAGTATCTAAAAGTTGGACGATAGTTGTTTCCTAGCAACACAAAAATCCAATTAAATTGTATAATTGGTGTAGTATTTTCCCTAATGAAGCAGCACATGTTATACTTCTGGGACAAATGGGGATGAACTTTTAAATAAAAGATAAAGTGTTCAAAATAAAAAGAGATGTCCCGGTGATGTACATTTTCTTTTCAAGGCCTTGTTGTTTGGTGCAGAAAATATGTATTCAGTAAATGCTCCATAGATCAAATATATCTAGATAAGTACTTTTTGAAGCAGACCGTGTCCTTAGAGGGCCTCTTCTTTATAAGCAGCTGGAGATCAGCTGGGGAAGTGACTGCAGTTTTGGTGCCCTCTACAGGACTCCTTTAAATAAATCAATAATCATGCAGTCATTTGGGGTTATACACAGTTTGTGACCATTTTAATTGCGCATGATCTCTGTGTAAATTGGAAATAAAGATCACATTATGATTTTTTTGCATTGCCTCATGAGTCCTCCATCATTGTAATTCATCCGAGCTGTCAATATGTGATCCTTAGACGAGGACCTCATGGTGGAGCAGAGGAGTAAAATTAATTACGTGGAGTTAATATTTGATATTGTCTATTCTAAATGTAATTTTTGAATCTAAATTATTTAGCCGTTTTATATGGTCATTGGTGTGGTTCCCTTGAAAAGCCAGAGAGATGGAGTGTAGACAGCATTCGTCATTTGAAAAGAAAAATTATTCAGAACTTATTTTAAGCCAATGACTGGCTTGGTTTTATCTCAAATAGTGTGTGGAGATTCACAATTTAATCATGGCTTTATTCAGGATGTTTAACCATCTCTCCGTCTCTCTTTTTCTGCCACTGTGAGCATATGTGTTTTTGCAAATGCAAATCATTTATAATCCAGTGTTCACTCGAGCTGGAATTTTCTTCAAGTGGTAGGATTTGTTTTAATAGTCGATTTAAACACTTTAATTTTTTTGTTTGTTAAAAAGCAATGTTTGCTTAAATATTAGGCCAGTTTGGCAACAATAAAGCAGCCTGGACATTAATACAAGTGACTTAAATGTCCTGACAAGAATAAATCTGTGTGTGTTTCGTCATATGGTGATGTGTGTTTAGTCGCTTATCCCCCACCTGCTCGCTGCTAATCATTTTGTTTATTACTGTACGTTTGCATCACCCACCCAATATGGGAAGAAGCAATGGGAGACCACCCAGGGAGCTTAGATGTTAACTCTCCATCTGTCTATTGTGTATACATTTGCTCTCGGCATTCCCCTCCCTTTCTCTCAAGTCTTATTCTTCCTGGGATGAATATAATGAAACTTTTTTTGAACTGACTAATGCTAAAGTGCACTGACACTGCGATTATGAAGTCCATTGTGAGTACAGTGTCTCTATGCAGCATCATGAGGGGGTTTATGAATATAATATGCCCTCTAGTATTATAGTCAGAGCTGTATGACATTTGACTAAATGTATTCAGTCATACAGTGCATGAGGTGTTGGATGTAGTATGAAACAAGACTATTTGGCATTTGAGGAAGCCTCTGTGGGCTTTGCGTTCATTTTCAAACACAGCAGACCCATGATGATGTCACGGTAAAATACAAGGCCAGGGTCAGCCGTCAAAGGAGTGTGTGTCTTGTGTTTGTGTATCCGCGAGTGTGTGAGAAAGAACATGAAGGTTATGGCTTTGGTACTTTGACAATATTCTGCTCTGGTTGGCATCACACATGAGCAAATCTCAAATGGAACAACATGTATTTTTCCATCTCGCTACCTTAAAACTCAGGCCAGTGGTCACCTGTGGAAGCCGTTTTACTGACAACTGTAGCTCAAAGCCTTTCAGGATAACACTCACTTTCTGCTGCACGCGCTTGCGTGTGTGTGTGTGTGTGTTTCTTAATTAAACACGTGAGCATCACTGTTTCCATTAGGGATGCATCATGTACATTTTTTTCAACCAATCATTTCCCACTTTTCACTGATGAAAAAAAAAAGGTAATCTTTCCAACATCATTTCTGTTAACAAAACAAAAAGTTAGCGAAATGTTAGCTCTGTTTTTCTGGTAAAGCACATTAAAAAACGTTCAGTTGTGTTGTCTTCCTCTAACATTGTATTTCTGTCACGCAAATTACAATTGGCGTAATCAACCATGTTGATATGAATTCAAAACAGAAACAATCCTGCAAGCACATTAGCTTCAAAAAGAGTTGCACACCGCCACCTACTTTATCCAAGTGTCTAGAATCTCTAGATGCTTTGCTAGTTTAATCAATGCGGGTAATGTAGCTTCAATTTTCAATATTAATCTGAATGTCCAATTATTGGAAAATCATGTATTGGCCCAATATACAACATGCATCCCTAGTTCCAATGTGGAATTTAAAGCAATAATTACTTTAAACTTCTACTAGTGGTGAACGAGAGACGTTATTTGGCGCGCCCTGAGGGAGTTGTGAGATAGAAATGACATTTGGATTCAGAAGACTTTTAATTGTTCCAACAAACTGCAATTACCTTTTCCTCGGAACAACCTGAAGAGTCATTAAGCTTGGTGCAACACCCTGGGTACAAGCACCCGAGGGGTTGTGGGATGTAACATTTTTGGCAGTCACTCAGAAATCACACATGCCTGACTGCATGCATATTAGCTACAGTCTACTCACTCGCAGGACACAACCGAGCGTCCCCATGTGCCGCGCTGTTGACGAATGTTTCACTTGGAAAATAGGTCACTTTGGAGCTGGCAGAAAAACATTTAGGAGGGAGGAAGTGTTCAAGTTGGAAGATGATTTGGCTTCTCCTTGTCATGATCCGTTTACAGTGCGGTAATGACATGCTTATGGAAGAAGGTTGGTGGTGAAAATGCGAACTCATGATTGTCAAATGTTTGCACTGATTAGTTAATGAAGACTTGCAATGTTGATTCTCTAGGAACGCAAATATATCCGGTTTTTTATGTTAAGGGCTTACTCCCAAACTGTTCTTGGTGCTCTTGAATCCTATTCCACATGAAAAGAGCTGACTTCATTTAGATTCAGTGTTTTCTGTCGAGGAACAGCAACATCCTCAGCGAACTCTTGTAACATGGTGTTACGAACCCACTAGGGATGAGTAAGATAACATACACCAGATGGATTTGGTAAGTATTATAATAGGGTTTAATGAGCAACAACAAAGGGTGCACAACAAAATGAGGTCAAAATAAGCCTAAGCCAAACAAAGAAGCCAAACGGGCGCAAGTCTACTGCTAATAACAGAAAAAGGACTCTAAAACATGAGCCTAGTTATCACACCTGAGATCACTTCCGATCAGCACTAATGGAAGGAGCTGCAGGAAAACACAGCTAACAAAATAAACTAAACACACCACTTTAAACACATATATCAACACACGACACTAAGCACATATATTATCACACCAAACACAGTCTGTAGTGTCCACGACACAAGAGCAAAAGGTATGAGGCGTCTGATCGCAGCAGAGCCTCCCGAGTGATAATTGTCCCCAGGCTTTGTAGTAATCTCCGGAAGGTGTGCTCTGGGATTGCACAGGGATTGGAGAGCGTCGGGCCCGGCGTGCTCCAATCAGCGTCTTCGGAGGAGGACCAGGAGATGACAGCCAACGACATTGGGGCAACCACACAGCTCATTTACATATTACACACAGCTGCAAACAATCTCAGACAGGTTAACGAGCAGACAGAAACAGCAGCCGTAACACATGGTCTAGTGTAGGAGCTCAAGCTGGGAGGCAAACCTTGGCCTGCCTATGGAGACAAAAGGCAGTTCTGAAGGGCATGACGTGTTCTTATTCTACAAATGTTCCCTCAGACACCCCCGTTTTCCCTGGGAAGCAGCACTCGGTATTCACGGCAGCAGGACGCCTGTCGGCAGTATTTACACACATAACTGGGGTGAAAAGAGTTCGATTTCAATATCAGGTGCAGCGCTTCATGCCAGCTGGTATCAACATGCCATCAAAAACCGCTGCCCTTTTGTGAGGCTCCCCGCTGAGCTATAATGGGCTGGTCTACACCAATAGATTCTCTGAAGTGATCTGAAGCTACCTCCACATTTGAAGCTTTGTAAAACTGGTGTGAACGCTCAAACTGCATCTTTATCCTTAAGCATTTTTCATTAAGAGGATTTTTAAGGGCACCCTTCAACACTAGAAATCGGAGTAATCTCCACCCATCAATTTGTTTATCTGTCTATACTGTGATTAGGAAAGCCTTTTATGTCTCCCCTAATTTAGCTATACTGCAACTGTCCACTTTAACACAAGAGAGCT